CTGTTACCAGGCAGTGGAAGAAACTTCCTAAAACAAATGCTGATCATGGGTCTGATCCTGCTGTTGTACTTGTCTTCGAACCATCACTGCTCAATTTTGTGGCTGATTACAAGCTAGTGTGTGCGTTTCCATCTATTGACTTTGATGATGCAACTGAATTTGAGATTTATTCATCCACTGAAGGATCTTGGAAAATTTCTGGAGAGATTTGCTTTGCCAGCAAGAAGCTCGTATCTAGATCTGGTGTTTATGTGGATGGCGTAGTTTACTGGCAGGAGAGGCATCATGGGGTTGTTGCTTTTGATCTCACAAAAGACAGGTCACAACTCATCCAAGGTTATCATGGTGCCACCTCAACCTTGGGGGTGATGAATGGAAAGCTTTGTTCAGCTTATGCAACTGGGCGTTCAATAACGGTGCAGGTGTTGTCTAATGTCTACTCAAACACGATGCAAATGCACAGCAATGCCAGGACGTGGAAAGAGGAAACACGTTTCGATTTAGGCAATCCAGTGACTGCTGCGGGAGTTGGTCAGGAGCGGTACATGGTGCTTTTTGCAGGCTGCAATGTGGTATTGGTTCAAGGTGGGAAGACAATTCTTTGTTATGACATGAAGACTAAAGAAACTAAAATCATATCCAGTGCAGCTGAAAATAATGCAAGGTGCGTATCTTGCGTGAATAGCCTCATCTACATCTAGTTAGCCCTTCTTCTCATCAGTGAATTTTTGGTCATTGGAAACTATTTTTAGTCATAGAAGTTTGGATGGTGGGCAGTATTAGTAAATTACAACTGTATTGGATGGATGGTGAAATTAGTTAATAATATAGACTAGACGCATTCACTGGTGATATGTGGTTTTTTTTGGAAGCAATGAAGTGTCTTGTGTATTTGTTTGTGGTTTTATAAATTGGATCAAGCATAACCTCTTCTTTAAATGCCTATTTGAAGCCAAAACTGAAAAATGAAAATAGTGTCATGGCATGTTGCTTTTACAGGAATCTTTGTTCTGTTTTTGAATTTGTATTTGTGTTTTTATTTTTGTGGGAGTTTGCTTTAAATCATGGATATTATTGTGTGCATGAGCACTGATAAAATGATTTTGAAGGCTTCTATAGCACCGCGGTCTCTCTTTCTCTCCCACTCTCACTCCATCTCTCTCTACCCCCATCCTGGCTACTCACATCAACCCATCACCCCACTTGATCAAATCAAGGGCTGTGAGGATAAACCTACTTCAACTAAAGCAATGAAGCGCAGGTGATCAGTACTTCAACCAACAACGCAATGCAATGCACCCAACAATTATCATCAGTATTTTGTAAATACTGATACCACTAATTCATTTGTGGTTACCTAGCTTAGTTAGGATGTCCTTTGAGGACAAATTACACTAAAATTTTGTAAATACTAAATACAAGTAATGCTACTGAGATTGTTGTTTGCTTGATCATGGTTTTTTTTCTGCGCTGAACTTTGTAAAGCGAATAATTGCTTTTTAAAATATTTTTTCAGCAAAACAGGAGCATTTTTAAGCTCCCTCAATATTTATTAACTTTAATGCTAAACAAGTAATGGTTTTGAATAATGTTATATACATTAATTAGTGTATTAACTAGTGTACCAATTGATGATATGACATAATTTAAGAGCTTTTTGGTATTTGTAATTTGTTTAATAAATGAGATTAATAATAATGTCATAATTAGTATTGGTACACTAGTTAGTACACTAATTAGTGTATGTAGCACCACCGAATAGTTTTTTAGACTTATTTAATTAGAAATGCAACTAATCTTGTTTCCTAAATGTGACCAATGGGCACAATTAATGTCCCTATAAGGGTAGCGTTTCAATTTTAAATCAAATCAGAATATATCACCATGTATGTATTATTATTGTACCAACTATTTTAAACCATCTTCTTAGCGATGAAACAAGTATATATACAATTGCAAACAATACTAAAATATGAGAAGCTATAATAATTTTTTTTTTCTTCAAATTGTGAATACTGTCAATTATAATTATTATGCAAGTTTTTATTTTATTTTATTTATAAGTAATTACCAATATATAATATCATCATTAGATAGTGATTAAAAAAAACATAAACCATGTCATGGAAGTTTCGAATGGTTCCAATAGACTTCATCACTTCAAACACATCACTATAAATAAATTACATGAGTTGGAATGAGGTTTCTTTAATTAAGATTTTACAAATGTTCATATGATTTTAAAGTATGTGTGATTTTTTGATTTGTGAAGTTAATCTTTAAATGTTAGATTTAATAATAATGTTATATGTACCAATTAATGTACTAACTAGTATACTAACAGATGATGTGGAATAATTTTAGAGATTTTAAGTATTTGTAATTTGTGTAATAGATGAGGTCAGAATAATGACATAACACTAATTGGTATACTAGTGTGTACATTAATTAATGCATACAGCACCACATTAGATTTAATAGATAAATTATATTCTATTGATGCCGGGTCATCATTCTTTGAAGTTTGATGGAAACTTAGTAAATCCTAATTCAACAAGTCAACTTTCCAACTATACAACCGATAGTTGAGGTGGAGCATGCAAAGATTCCATGATACAAACCATAAACATATTTTAAAAAAATAACAATAATAATTTCATAAAATTCATGGTACTAAAAAGGGAAATTGACAGTTGTCAAATCATTATAGGTTGGTCTGAGACCACAAAAAAAAAAAAAAAAAATCACTATTCTTAAAAAAAATTCAAAGTTAACCTCCACAATAATTCAAAACAGATATTTATATTCAATAGATAATTTTCAATAAAAGATATAATCTCATCAGTTTCAAATGAAAGTGATATTATATATCCGACTTTACCATGCTCATCAACATCCACATTCATTCCATTCTTATAAAACCCAACATCGATTTTCATTTTCCTTTTCAAACCAAACATTTATAATTTTAGGTCAAAACACCTTACTCTTTAAAAATCAATTTTTAGTGGAGAAATCCACCATTTTGTCATATCTTAATCATAAACACAACCCTACAATCTTGAGGATCTGAAGAATCAGTATATCATGTACCTCCTCTAGAGTTTTATTGAGATCAGGGAAAAGAGTGAGACCATCAGAGGATGCCATATCAGAAAGAAAAATTCTAGCTATAATGGACTGATCATTGGAGCTTTTCACTTTGTTGTTTTCCTTACAGGTCTTTTTTAAGAAGAGGACAAAGAAGAAAAAGGGAAGAGGTGAGATAATCAATATGAGAAGATCGAGGCCAGCTGTATCGGCGTCGCAGTTGTTGAATTCGTGGATTCAGACACGATGCTCGATGTCTCGGCAGAGAAAATGAGAAGAAGAGGAAAAAAAAACAAGTTAAGGCTCAACATAGCTCAAGAAATACACGAAGAAAAAAAGAAAAAAAAAAAGGAAAAAAAGGAGACAAATAAATAAATAAATAAATAAATAATAATAATAATAAATTTGTGTATATTTGTGTTTGGTTTCTAATATTTTTTGTAGGAAAAGTTTCCTTCAAGTTAGGGATCATTTTTCTCCTACATCGCAGTTGTGGTATTTTCAAAGAATATAAGTGCCTATATAGTGAAAGGCCTGAACAAATCTTACTTCGGGAGTAAAGCAATAGTAATGTTGTTTGAGACGTGTTATGGTAAGGATGCAATTAATAATTTTTGTCGAGGAACTTTATCACAATAAGCCTTGAAATATGGCTATAAAAAGATCATTTCTTTTAAAATTTATGTGTTTTTATTTTTTATTTTCGTGTGTGTGTGTGTGTGTTTATTAAGGGTAAATTACACTTACATCTCATAAGATGTGGATTTAATACATATCACCCCCTGATATTTGGGAAATTATACTAATTCCTCTATCATTGTAATTATTTAGATAGAAAAATATTGAACTCATACACTCTCTCTTTTCTTACTTTGCTTTACTTTCTCTGTTTTTTTTTTTTCCTTTTCCTTTGCTTTATTTTTTTTAATGTAATTTCTTCTGTGTTTTCTACTAAGAGTTATTGCCTTTTGTATAAGTATGGGTTTCTGTGAAATGAGACTATTAATTACAAGAATATGAATGTAATTTTTAAAATGTCAGAGGCTAAAATATAATCAGATTAAGGGATTTTTTGAGATGTCTTAGATAAGTGCACTTTTTGACTTTTTAGACTAAAAAGTTGAGGGAAAAAATATGATTGTTTAGGATAATTTGTTGATTTTTTACGAAAAAATATGTATTAAAATATTGTATAAACTAACAAAATTACCATTTTACCCTTATGTCCTATGCATAATGACAGTGAATATTGAGGGAAGCAATACAAAATGCTTTCAATTGTGTATGGGGGCAGACATGCTTCAGATTTATATATATTGGATGAAGTTTTCCTTTAGCCTTTTATCGGACTGGAGGGGCTTACCACGGGTTCCATTTCAATAATCCGAACCGTTCAATGTGTATCGTCAAGTACTACATGCTTGATCGGATATCGATAGCTATGTGATTAAATCACTTTTGTGTAAAAAAAATGGACGATTAAAAATAAACGGTTGAAAAAAATCTGATTTGATCACATAGCTATCGATATTCGATCAACGTGATTTTTACAAACATAGTACTTGACGCATTTTACACATTGAGCGGTTCTGATTATCAAAACGGGACAAGTGGTGGGCGCCCACAGGCCGAACAATAACTTTTTTTGTAATTTTTTTGTGCAGTCGATTAGGTAATTTGCACCATCTGGTTCAAATCGTACCATCACGTCAATGACTTTTTGGATTGTATTTTTTTTGTGTAAATTTATTTTTTTATATATATATTTTTTTGTGAATAATAATAAATTTTTAACTTTTTAAATAATTTTTAATTTTTTATCTTTTTTAAATTATATCAAACAAGTCCTAAATCACACGAAGTAACCTTTTATTGGCTGTGGCTCTATAAATACCCTACGTCTTGGCCCAAACCCTAAAATAGACCTAGGCGTTTTCGAAACCCTAAATAGAGATGAGAATGCCATCTACGCATTTTCGAAACCCTAAATTAGAGATGAGATCACTGTGGCGGCAGCGAAGAAGAACAATTGGAAGAAAGAAACAGAGTGAAGGGAAGATGGCAATGATAGTCGGAGGACGAAGAATGGGGAAGAGATCATATGAATCGAGCTCAAGCTCCTCGGATTTGCAAGAGGGTCCTGAAAAATCTCTCTGCCTTTTCATGTCCGGTTGGGGCTGTCCTCAACTTGAGGGTCCGATGTTGTACTCCGTCGATTTAGACGGCAAGAGTTACAAGAGGAGAAAGTTATGCCGAAGGTGCTGCAGGGAGATCCTCGGAGAACCAGGGCCAGAGCCTGAGCTTGATCTTGATGAGCGTTTACGTTTACGTAGAAGTAGCGGTGGATTCCGTGAACTGACTCCATTGATCTCAACTTCGAGTTGGCCTCCCGGTGGTTCCATGGTCGTCGCTCTCGGCTCTGCTGTCTACGTCCTTGGTGGTTGCATCTCAAACACTGCAACCGACATAGGATGGTTATTATCTCCCGAGGTCTCTTATTTCGAGACTAAGAGTCCCGAGAAGGGCTGGATTCCAGTTCCTGATATGCTGAATTGCAGAGATAAGGGGGCAGCAGTAGCTGTGGAAGGCAAGATCTATGTTTTTGGGGGAAATGAATTGGATAATGCCCGAGAGCCGTGGGCTGAGGTTTTTGACCCCATAAAAAACAAATGGAAGCCTCTGTGTCGTCCCCCTAAATCTCTCCGCAATAGCAATTACAATTATACAGCATTAAACGCTGTTGCTTATGGAGAAGAAAATAAGAAGATTTTGATTGGCTGCATGTTTGTGTACGATGTGAATAGCAACACTTGGGAAATACTCCCCGCTAAAGACGAAGGTTTAGCTTTCGTCAGACGTAGTTATAATAATTTAGTTGGGGTTGGCAATTCCCTGTATTGGACAAGATGGGGAATCATCCATGTGTTCAATATGAAGACTCGGAGGTACTATGTTTCAAAAATTGAGGGTATCGGGAATCAGATTTGCAAAGGTTATGATCCTCCACCTGAAAGATTGCTTCATTTGGGTGGAAAGGAGTTCTGTCTTCTCACCTTGGATGAGATCGAGGGACGACGGAAACGCACCAAAATTCGTTGCTACAAGTTTAAAGTTTCTAAGCAGGGCACTAAAAAGGACCCAGGCAGCTTCATGGCTTCCCTTGTATGTCGTGATCGTTATATAGTTGATTGGCCTTTAGACTTCCGCAATGACCATGGCCTAGTGCTGTAAAGTTTGCTTTACATCCTATCTTATCTTACTTATTTGCAATTTAATTGTTGGCTATAATAACCAGATTTGAATTCTTCATGAACTACATTTGTACTGTGCTATATCTTACATGGCTATTACAGTTCTCTTGCTTCTCTGGAGTTTTAAGGGCTGGAATGAAAAATGAAGGTATATGTATCATGCGATTCGGATGCATAGGCTAAGGGGTTTTTTTCCAAACAGAGTCGTTTTTTTTTTTTTTTTCCCTAATGCATTATTAGATGGAGAAGTGGTTGCATGCCTTTTAGGTGGAAAAAGAGGGTTCTTTATAATACTCTCATAATCCCTCTAGTGCCGAATTTGTAATAAAACATAGTAGTGTGTGAAGCACCCATAACTGAAATTGGAACTCTATTAGGTGAAGGCCAATGCTCGCCTCAAGCCATGCCTTGCAGTGGATCTGAAATTGAGCATGAACTCAAGGTTTTAAAAAATCAACTGAAATCTCTTGCTATGGACGATAATTGGTTTTGGTGGTTACAGCCACCTCTTATAGCCTGTTGTAGCTGTGTGACAAAAAAACACACTAGTAATGGTGACCACCACCATTATGTAACGGCCTTTTGCAATGCCTTTGCAACGCCTTTGCAGCCATTTTGTGTCTGTATCAACAGATTCTGTATTTAAAGCCATTTTTTCTCGTCCTTTTTTTAGCTTCTAAAATCACACAAATTCCACACATGATCGATGCAAAAAATTTACATCTACATGTTTTCAATTTCCAATTCTCAACTTCTACAAGATTTAAGGTTAGATGAGCTTAGTTCTTTACTTTGGTTTTGGGTTAGATTTGTTGAACAGTCTTGGATATTATGTTATGTAATTTTCCATTAGTATATCACATCGTGTTTTGAATTACGTTAGTGACTCTATAACTAATTATATGAAAGAACATACTTCATGAATTGATGAATTATGTTAGTGACTCTATAATTAATTATATGAAGGAACATGCTTCATGAATTGCTTACCATAATAAGGGAGAAGGTATCCATAGGTACAAAATCAATATAATATAGAAAATTAAATACATTAATAAAACGAATAATATTTGTGTCAATGTAAAACTAGTGTAAATTTTAGCACATACATTTGATCATGTTTAAAAACTAAATAAAACCCACATAAACTAGTTTAAAGTTCATTAATTGTGATCATGAAATTAAAAACACATGCCAGCTATGTAGCACGGACACAGGACACGACACGGACATGCGAAAACGCAATTTTTCAAAAAATAAGAGACACAGCGCGCTGGGGACACGTTTAATATATATAATTTTATTTATTTATTATATATCTAAAATAAAAATAAAATCATTAATTCTTATATAATCAAAATAATAATAAAATTAATAAATATATATTTTAAAAAAATTAATAAAAAATGAGTTTTTTTAAATAAAAATAATTTATTTTATGAATTTTAAGTTTAACATAAAAATAAGGATAAAGAAAAAAGAAAAAAGAAAAAAAAAGAGGGGGAGAGAGAAACGTTGAATCAAGAAAAAAGAAGAAAAAAAATATAAAAAAGAAACGATAGAGGAGAGAGAGAGTGAAGTCAAAAAGCAAAGGGAGAGAGTCAGAAAAGAGAGAGACGAAAGGGAGGAGGAAAGGAAGAAGAACAGCAATGATGGAGACAGAGAAGACGAAAACGAAGAGGAGGAGGAGGAGAAGAGAAGAAGAAGAAGAAGAATACCTCAGCTTCAGCTTCTTGGATTGATCTGAATAGGTTAGCCTTCTCCTCTCCCTCGATCTCTTTCTCTGTCTTCTCTGTCTCCCTCGATCTCTTTCTCTGTCTCCCTCGATCCCTTTCTCTCTTTCTCTGTCGATCAAGGAAAACAGTTAGGGCTTCTTCGATCCACCTCACGAGTGTTCGAAAAGTATCCCGCTGTGTCCATGGCGTGTCCGACTGGAAGATTTCAAAAAAAAAAGGAGACATGTTAGAGAGAGTGTCGGACATGTGTCTACCGCGTGCTCGACGCGTGTCCGTGTCCGACACGTGTCTGACACTTGTACGCAGAGCCTGGGAACGTGTCGGTGCTTCATAGCATGCCAGTAAATTTTTCCACAGTTAAGCGAAAAGAAGAAAAATCCAAGGCTCTGGTTGTTGCCCTTGTCATAATTATTGTATGGTGGCCACCATCTTTAAAAGAGATGAATGAGCCTAAAAAGTGGTTGAAATTGTGTTTCAATGATTGAACAGATTTGAAATAATAAAATGGTGAGGAAGCTTAAATGATTCTTGAAAAATAATGATTATAGTATTTACTTTTTCATAATACACTTGACAAATATATATATATAGGAAATTAAAATTACATTTTGTTGACTGCACAAGAGTACACTAGCAAGGGGCCCTCATTTTGTTCTTTTATTTTAATTGGATGTTCATGGTGCAGGGATGTGAAGCCGGGTGGGAAAGTACTGGAGGAAGTGATTACGTAGAATTTGCAATAGACATGTGGAGATCTTGATACTCTAGAGGAGAGACCTGCGAGGTGCTCTAATGTGGAGATATTAATGGTTCTTTTTGTTGGTAGTCATGCAGTAAAATAGTGCTTTTGAGATGAATTTATTTTGGTGTTGTGTAAGCTTGCAAGACTTGATGAATGCATGAAGTGACACTATTTAAGTTATGCAGTTTGGGAATGAATTGGAGAAGTTAGCTATATTTATTTTGGTGTTGTTTGTTTGTTTGTTTATTTGTTTGCTTGTTTGCTTGTTTGCTTGTTTTTGGTAGATAGATTTCTGGACAACTAAAATTAGTATTTGTAGATGGATGCTTTACGTGCATTGTCTTAATGTAGGGGTCTAGGGGTCCTGCATTTATCATGGGTTCTGCATTTGGATATTATTCCTTGAAACTTTTTTTTTTTAATGGTTTTTTTGGGTCCTTTTAGCTTGATGACGTGTTCAGAAATCATTGATTCGTCAAATAAAGTTGTAATTGAATTAGCCCCATCACATTTGTTTCCAGATCATGATTTTTTTCGTCAATTGATGAAAATGAAGGTTATACCAAATGCCTAAGATATAGGCAATTGCCGATAATCTGTCGTATTGGGTGCAATAAAATAACCTTGGCCATAAAGGTTGTGATCTTTACATTTTGGTGGTAGCTAAAGGATGCCACGCAGTATTTTTTCCATTCTAGATTGCTTCGAAGCCTTTCATTGGGATCCTGTCTTGTCCGAGGCCTTTGATCTCCTCAAGTTCAACCTTGAAAGGTGATCACAAAATAGCATGTGCAGAGGGTTATACAATAAACTGAGCAGGAAATGCTATGGCACTCAAGACATCAAACATGAATTCTTAACAAACAGTCTTAAGCTTTGTAGATAATGCATCTAGTAGGTGTGATTCATTCGTATAGCAGCTTTTGATAGCCAAGTTTGGTGAATTCATTCGAGTAAAGATTCATATTTTCCTTCTTACAAAAGAACCGGTCCACCCAGAGGATACATTAGGCCGGAGTGCATGGTCCCAATAAAACAGGACAAACCGAAGGAGTTCAGTTCCAATCCACCCATCCAAGAACAGAGTAGAATGAACAATGTCAAGTGTGTTCTCAAAGAAAGGCAGTCTCGAGCCAACTGCGACGTACAGAGGAATAAGTCCTCTCAATGCTATCACCTCATTAAAAGCTGCCCCTAAATTCAGCGTGGCCGAAGCAATGGTAACATTTTACTCTCTCGTAATTGCAGCAAATGTGCTGGTTGGTTGGGTTGAAATCCAACCCAACGCGGATCTCCTCCGGCTTTAGCGTCAAAACCTCATCAATTGTGAACTCGGCCGAAAGAGACTCATTGGTTGGCACTTCCCATCCTCACCTTGAAAGATGGAAGCAATCAGAGCATTTGTAGAAGCCTCTTCTGTCAATCGTTTCATTTGAAACAAGACAGGTATAGTATTTTGCATTTGTAGTGGTTCCATAAAATGTTGATATCACTAGGTTGAGTCCAGAGAGAGGAGTTCACAGAAAGTGGCTTGTTGTAGTGTTGAGGTGATCTTGAGAAGCACTTTCTTCTAGGTATTGGCTCACAATCACTGACTACGCTTCTGAGTCAGGTCCCAATCATCTGGACATGTACTATACATCTTGTGATCATGAACAGGTCTATGTGCGAGGCCATACCGAAACAACATAGTCCGATAGATGGGTTAATCGCTTCCAGCCCAAGAAAATTCTTCTTCCCACTGACCGTGTTTGGTTTGGGTGAAATGTAATTATGAAGCTCAGCAGAGTTCCTTCTTCAACTTCGCTTTCCTCGGGCTCACTGAGGTCTTCCTCTACATTGCTCGTTACATTCCTATTTGTAAGCGCTTATCGTGTGAAGAAGCCCTCTAACTAATCAAGTGGCGCAAAACCTTGAAGGTTGCATTTGGATTTGAAATGATTTGGGCACTAGCCATTCAAAGCAAAAAAAGCTCAAATTTAAAATCCATCTATCCAATTGGAACCTTAATAAACATCTACAAGATTATCTGTTGAAACTTTGACCTCCGTTAATGCTTACCCGATAGAGCATTTTGCCTCACCAATTCCTTTCAAGACAGGGTTTGAAGTACAAATAAAACTAACCAGTGTGTGGGTAGACATATGTTCTCCAGCTTCAAAATTCCCCACAATTACCCTTCAGTTATCCTACATCATTGTTGTATGCCATGAAATTTAATTGGCATGATGAGTTTACACTCAGAAGAAGAGACTACAAGAATCAATGTTTGCTATTCAAGAGATGAGTTGTGCAACATATTCTTTTTTACCCTAAAGGCATGTTTGTTTGGACGGACTGGATAAGGGGATTGTAATCTATCGGACTGTTAGTCCTTTGATACATTGTCCCTGAACTATTTAGTTGGATTGAATTTGTATCAGTCATGAGATTAGATGTCTGGATTGGATTATTTTAAGTGAATTCAATGTTTAGTTGGACGGACTGGATGAGGATAAATATTCAAAAGACTATTTTACCCTTGTAATTTATAATTTTAAATTTGTAATCTATAATTTATAATTTAACAACACTAAAAAATTTTAATTTATAAGGCCATAATTTTTAATTTTTAATTTTTAATTAAATTAAATTTATAATTTATATTTTTTATTTAATATATAATTTTAAATTAACAACACTAAAAAAATAATTTTATTTAATATATAAATTTAATTTTTTAACAACA